AGTTTCGAACCGCTGACCGTAAGGTTCGCAACCCAATTCGTAACCACTACGCTACCAGAGCTCATATAAGACCCATGAAATCATTTGCTCTGGCCCTCCCAAGGCAATGGCAGTTTAAGCCATTACGTTGTTGTTGTTGTTGTTAAGTGCCATCGAGTCAGTTCCGACCTATAGCGACCCTGTATAGAGTTTCCGAGGAGTGAATGACTGGTGAGCTCGAACCACCAACGTTGCAGTTCAAACGGCTTTGCAGTCTGGCGCATTAACCCACAGCACCACACCAGGACTCCAAGCCATCACATTAGGGGTGAGCTAATTAAATGCTTGACCAAATATGTTGTTGTTTTTGTTGTTAAGTGCTGTCGAATCGGTTCCAACCCATAGTGACCCTGTGTAGGGTTTCCAAGGAGCAGCTGGTGAGCCTGAACTGCCAACTTTGCAGATCAAACTGACTTTGCAGTCCAACACACTAACCCACAGCGCTACACCAGTTTAGCGGGCTGTTTTTAAGTTGATAATTTTGTATGGTCCTTGAATGCTGTTATAAATATCCAAATGGTCCTTAGCAGAAAAAAGCTCCCCACCCCTAGTTTAGTTTCAGATATGCAGAATCCTCGCCTAATAGAGGACTTGACGGATTCACCAGGCCTTGTGTGTACGTTCATGTGCTCTGCAGCTTGATGCTCTTAACCAAGACAAAAAGAGCCCAAAACCAAACCCACTGTCATTCAATCAATTCTGACATAAGGGATGATGCATGGCGGGGATCGAAATCATCGTAATGAAACAAAATACAATATGTTGAGTGTAAAACCAATGTTCTCCCATGCAAACGATCACTCAATTCACAATAAAAGCTTAAAAAAAAAAAAAAGATAAGAGATCGCAGCCTTCAGTATGGATTGCATCTCAATGTAAAGAAACAGAAATCCTCACAACTGGACCAATAGCATGTTAAATGGAGAAAAGACTGAAGTTGTCAAACACTTCATTTGGCTCAGATCAACCAACAACACTGATGGAAGCAGTAGTCAAGAAATCAAATAACGTATTTATTGTATTAGGCAAATCTGCTGCACAAGACCCTCTTTAAAGTGTTGAGGAGCAAGGATGTCAGTTTAAGGACTAATGTACCCAAGCCACAGTATTTTCAATAACCTCACATGCATGTGAGAGTTGAACAGCGAATAAGAGGAGAATTGATGTATTTATGTTGTGGTGTTGGAGAAGATTATCAAAAGTACCATGGACTGCTGGGAAAACAAGTCAATCAGTGTTGGGAGAGGTATAGCCAGAGTGCTCCTTGGAAGTCAGGATGGAGAGACTTCACCTTTTATACTTCAGACATGTTATCAGGAGGGACCAGTCCCTGGAGAGGGACATCAGACTTGGTAAAGTGGAGGGTCAGCAAAAAAGAGGAAGACCCC